GTCTTTTTACATCCTCCTGTAAGCTCTAGACTACTGTGTGGTTTGAAGAATGGCCCTTGTTGGAGGAAGTTTCCTGTCCTGACTGCTGGCTCCAACATAACCACAAAGAGGCTTAATATTAATTAAGTGCTCAGCTGATAGATCAGGCTTATTACTAACTCTTAAATTTAAGTTAACCCATATGTGGTGGTATTGTGTTCCCCAAAATATTGTGCACCCTAATAAACTTATCTGGGTCAGAGACAAAACAGCCACTAGATACAAAGGCTAGAAAATGGAGGCACTCATACCTTTAATCCTAGCACTCCAGAGGTAGAAATCCCTCTGGATCTCTGTGAGTTCAAGGCCACATTGGAAACAGCCAGGCATAGTGACACACGCCTTTAATCCCAGGAAGTGATGGCAAAAACAGAAAGATATATAAGGCATGAAGACCAGAAACTAGAAGCATTTGGCTGGTTAAGCTTTCAGGCTTCGAGCAGCAGTTCAGCTGAGATTCATTCTGGATGAGAACTCCGAGGCTTCCAGTCTGAGGAAACAGGATCAGCTGAGGAACTGGCAAGGTGAGATAGCTGTGGCTTGTTCTCTTCTCTGATCTTCCAGCTTTCACCCCAATAACTGGCCTCAGGTTTGATTTTATTAATAAGAACCTTTTAAGATTCCTGCTACACCCATATTTCTTATTTATGCTCTACCAAGTGGCAATACCTTTATTAGCATGGCACGTTCACCTTCTGCTCCCTCTGCATCTGGCTAGCAATTCTCTGACTCCACCTTTCTTCATCCCAACATCCTTAGTTTGGTCGCCCCACCTATATACTTCCTGCCTGGCTACTGGCCAATCAGCATAGCTGGATCGATGAGCCCCAGGGGTCTCCAGTCGCTGAGAGACCCTATCTCAAAACACAAAACACCACCAAGAATTCAAGCTGTTCTTTGATGTTGACAGATCCATGCATTCGGTGCAGTGGAGAAGCCAGCCCTCAGCCAAAATCCGTTTCTCTTTCAGCTCACCCCAGATAGAAACAAAATC